CAAGAACCAGAGACTAGATAATCCAGAGACCTAGTGTAAAAGCAAACATTATTGGTCTAAAAAGGAAAGTATCGATAAAATGACTCCTAATGACATTCTGCTATACCAATAAATCGGTGCCTTATTTAGTTATCATCAGAGAGACTTCCTCCTGCAGCAGACAGGAACAGATGCAGAGACCCACAGCCAGACATACCACAGAGAGAATCCTTCAAACACACAGCTCTACATAGGATGTCTCCATCAAATCCCTCCCCTCAGAGCTCAGGGAACCACATAGAAGAGGAGACAGAAAGAATGTAAAAGCCAGAAAGGATGGAGGACACCAAGAGACCAAGGCCCTCTGAATCAACTAGGTGAGGCTCATGTGCACTCACAGGGACTGAGGCAGCAAGTCCAGGGCCTCCACGGGGCTTCACCAGGTCCTCTGAGTACATAGTATAGCTTTTTAGGTTAGTATTTTTATGGGACTCCTGAGTATGGGAGCAAGTGGGTCTCTGATTCTTGTGCCTGCTTTGGGGGTTCTTCCTCCTACTGGGCTGCTGTGTCCAACTTCAATGTGATGGGTTTTGCTTCATCTTGTTACATTTTATTTTGTCATGTTTGGCTGTTATGTCTCAGAAGCCTGTTCTTTTCTAATGAGTGACAGAAAAGAAGCAGATCCAGAGGAGAGGGGAGATGGGGAGGAACTAGGGGGAGTAGAAGGAGAAGAAACTGTAATCAGGATATACTGTATGAGAAAAGTATCTGTTTTCAATAAAAGGGAAAAAGTGACACACACACACACATTAAGAAAAGATTACTAACAGGGTTCACTTGTCCAAGGTTAAACCCTGTATCCAAAAAGCACCCAAAGGAAAAGCAGGAGATCCTTCTTGAAACAGTAAACCAATTGAGGATTTACCCTTGCTCTTCAAAAGGGACCCCAAAGATCAACTACAGTTAAGTAAATCCATGGACCATGATCTGCAGCTCCTACTATTATCAACAGCTTCTCTAAAATTTCAAATAATACTTTGTAAGGGTCCAAGAAAGTGCTGAAGAAAGACCCCAGACTCAAATAGTATGCAAGAATAAAGAGCATTTATTGCCAGCGTGCAGGGTCGAACACCTGTGCAAAATGGCGGTGGCCCGGAGAGGAGCGTGCAGGCCGCTTTTAAGCACAGCTAGGGGGATTTAAGGGACAGTGAGGTCATCTAAAACATAATTGGTCAACGGGCAGCAGTTACATTAGTACATTTTTGATTGGCTGAGGTTTTAGTTTTTCCATCTTTGGGCATACTGGGGCAAGTCAGGGCCTGTTTCAGGGCGTTACAGGAACTGTCCTTTTTGTTCACTGTCTTGTGATACTGTGGGGGCTGGCTCAGGCCTCATCCGGGCTTCCCTCCTCATTTCTGCTCTCAGGGGTGGTGTAATTAATGCCCCTTTGTTGGAAAAACAAAACAAAACAAAATTTGTTTGTTCTTAAAAAACTGAAACCTAGATCTGGTTGTAAAATGAGAAAAATTTAGACCTCTCAACTTAACTACCATAACCACATCCTTTGACCGAGGGCCACTGGATCACCTGAAGTAAGGCCAAGCAGCATCTTTCCTTAGTAAGAAACCCAAAAGGATCAATCCAAACCCTTTTCCGATGTCCATATTTGGATCCAAAGCATCCAAGAACAGCCCTCACCCTATACCCCCAAACTGAGTCCCAAAATCCTAATGAGAAAAATGTTATGATAAAAACAAATGTGTAAGTTAAATATATTGAAATGTTAAAGGGAAATAAATCATCTTACAGCGGAGTCTAAGATAGTCAGATTTACCTGCTTTTAAAAAATAAATTCTTGCCGGGCGGTGGTGGCGCACGCCTTTAATCCCAGCACTCGGGAGGCAGAGCCAGGTGGATCTCTGTGAGTTCGAGGCCAGCCTGGGCTACCAAGTGAGTCCCAGGAAAGGCGCAAAGCTACACAGAGAAACCCTGTCTTGAAAAACCAAAAAAAATAAATAAATAAATAAATAAATAAATAAATAAATAAATAAATTCTTAAAAAAAAAAAACCACAACAGCTGGGCGGTGGTGGTGCACGCCTTTAATCCCAGCACTCGGGAGGCAGAGGCAGGTGGATCTCTGTGAGTTCAAGGCCAGCCTGGGCTACCAAGTGAGTTCCAGGAAAGGCGCAAAGCTACACAGAGAAACCCTGTCTCGAATAACCAAAAAAACAAAAAAACAAACAAACAAACAAAACACAACAAAATCTTTACAGTTAACCTTTTGGTTTTGGCCCAAACTGTAGTAATTAAATACATAAAAAGTCCTATAACAACACATGAACACTTTTACAACCTGAAGTTAATAAGTACATTATGTTGATAAAGTGTCACATGTTGTTTGAGCTCACTGAGCAGCTGGATCTAGATGAGGGCTGTATACTGCCCCCACACCCATTTCAAACCCAAGCATGTTTGTCTCAGAGTCCTCCAAGGCCCTTCGTCTGGGGATGGGATGATACCCCCCCTCCACTCTGTGGAAGGAGAGAGAATAAGAAAACTTCCTGAGAGTAAAAGTCATCAGCCTTCGCCGGGCGGTGGTGGCGCACGCCTTTAATCCCAGCACTCGGGAGGCAGAGCCAGGCGGATCTCTGTGAGTTCGAGGCCAGCCTGGACTATCAAGTGAGTTCCAGGAAAGGTGCAAAGCTACACAGAGAAACCCTGTCTCGAAAAACCAAAAAAAAAAAAAGTCATCAGCCTTGAGAACAATTGAAAAGTGAACTGTTCCCAATGGATGTTAGTGTTGTCAAATCCACGTTACAAACGTGCCCACAGTGAGGAGAGAAACCAGAAGTTCATTGGTGGGAAGCTAAGCCGTGGAGTGAGAGCTCAGTCCAACCCTACCTCCACTTCCCAGTCAGTTTCTCCAGGGTGTACTGAGCACCTAATCTAATGACGCTGTGCTGTCTGTTTGTTGTGCTCTCTCTGTCTCTGTCTCTGTCTGTCTCTGTCTCTGTCTGTCTCTGTCTGTCTCTGTCTCTGTCTCTGTCTCTCTCTCTCTCTCTGTTAACTCTTTTACTTTGCCTTGCTATATACTTAAGAAAACGCAATCACTCAAAACCTAACATATGGCTTCACATATCGTTCTCTGGGTGATACAGCACTCAGGACTAAGCAGCTAGACACCCACACACACACCCCCACATACAGTAATTCCTCCAGAGATGCAGGGTAGGGCCATGAAGGATCCACTGAGCTTTCTGAACAAGTGCAGCCTCTTCCTACAAGTCACTATCAGTGGATTCAGTAGAACCCTGCCTGGGGAAGGCCAAAGGGGACAGCATAGGTGCCTGATGATCTTCATGGGGCCAAGACGGCAGTGACAGAGGCAGCCACCGCAGCTGTTCCTTGCAAATGCTCATACACCCTTTCAAACCTTCCAAGCTCCTCCTGACCATCAGCTGGATAAAATGTACAAGCAGACAGGTTGTTTTCTCCTTTGAGACCCATAACACACTGAGAGATCCATAAGGACAAAGGAAGATCGCTTACTTTCTTTCCTGCACACCTCCCAAACTTACTCATTGCTGGACATGATCTGTTTCTGCTATGTGTAGTGGTGAGGGTTCTCAGGAGCTAAAATCAATAGCATATAGACTCTATACTATAGAGAGACAAATTATTTGGGGGTTATGTGGTTATGCATGTGCTATTTGTCATGGGAAGAGGTTCCTGTGATTTGTCACCCCACGACATGCCCATTGTAAAGGAAAAAGCCACACAGCCCATAATGTATCCAGTCAGACCTGACTGGACAGGAGGCATGGGGGAAGTCCCAGGTTATGACAGAGCAAAAGGAAATCGGACAACCAGGCCAGGAGATGATGGGCATCTGGACGTGACAGAAAGAGTTCGCTCATCATCTGACTTATTTATTAATTTATTTTTTGTCTATCGATGAGTTTTTAAATTTTTTATTTTATGTGTACAGATATTTTGCCTGCATGTAGCTATGCACCACATACCTGCAGTACACACAGAGGACAGAGGAGGGCGCCAGATCCCCAGACTTGAGACACAGACCATGGTTAGCTAGCAAGTGGTTACTGGAAGCCAAACCTGGATCCTCTGAAAGAGCAAATGGAGCTCTGAACCTCTGAGCCAGCTCTGCAGCCCCCAAACTAGAGTTTGATTAAAGCGGACTCATCTACAATCAGTTCTCCATGAACTGAGTGAATTATACAACATTAAACATCTTCACTGACAGGGAGAGTCATTGACATTAGAGGAGACATAAATAATAACAATGAACTGACAGTTACCGTATATTCAATTCGGTTTCCTTAGACAGAAAAGGATTAACAAAGAATGGACGTCCCCATGCCAGCAGAGCTTCGGGCCAGCGCCAAGAGGCCATCAGAAACCCAGTAAAGACAACATACTAGACACCTAATATTGACACAGCCAGTGGGGGGTAGAGGGAACATCCTGGGTCCCTGCTGGGCACTCCCAACAGCCCCATCATCACTCACTGAGACCCACACCTGTGTTCGCAGTTCAAAGTCCCCGTATGCTACAGTGAAGGAGATTCTAGGCAAACATACTTTACCCCCTTGAGCAGTATTTCTCAACCTTCCTAACACCAAAACCTTTTAAGACAGTTCTTCATGTTGTGGTGACCCCCAACCATAAAATTATTCCATTGCTACTTCATAACTGTAATGTTGCTACTATTATGAGTTATAATGTAAATATCTGACATACAGGATATCTGATATATGACCCCTACGGAAGGGTCATTTGATCCCCTAAAGGGTCACGACCCACAGATTGAGAACAGTTTCTCTAGAGAGCTTTGTCCCTGCTGTGAGGGTCTCAGATTAGAATCAAGATATTTCAAACTCCTTCTGTTCCATTAGACTCCTCAGAGCCAGCACGACAGGCTCGGAGCTCAGACTTCTGGAAGCAGCTGTGACACTCGGAGAGTCCAAAAAGCAAAAGGAATGAGACACAACACAGAGCTAGTGTGTTTCAGGCTTTATTGGCGATGAGAAGGCCTGGGGCAGCCCCCCCACTGGGGAACTTGAGACAGTATTGACCTTTAGGGTAATCCTAGGGAGCAGAGTTCAGGGCAGACATCAGGTCATGGAAGAGGACTGTGTGGTTGGGTTGGGGCACAAATGAGGAAGGGGTCTTGATGAAAGGAAGTGGGGAGATGAAGACTGCATGGGCTTGACCAGGGTTTGAGCTGAGGAGACTGAAAAGCTGGAGAAGGCGGTGGGAAGGAGAAGGAAGTGAGATCAGGGAGGCTGCAGGGCAGAAGGCCGGCTGTCCTCAGGGCCTGGAGGATCTCCAGTGTGGACTGGCACTCCTTAGGAAAGCCAGTGTAGCAGGGGCCTACTTGTTACTCCAGTGGGCCATCTTTGAAAATATAGGTGTTGAGATGAAGCGGCTGGTCTTCATGTAGGCAGAGATCTTCTTCAGGCCCTGCAAATTGGGAAGGACAGAGCAGGAGCTCAGGTCTGCAGCCCACTGAGAGGAGCAGCCCCATGCCAGGAACAGCCTTTGTCCTGGGCTCAGGCTGGAGCACAGGGCAGCCTGCTTAGCTCCCAGCCCAGACAAAAGAACTCTTCAATTTCCCCCTATTAAAGAGAAGACTGGGTCCTGTGTGAGTTGTTTTACACCCGCTAAAAATTACAATATAGGCTCAGAAAGCCTACATTGATCTATATCACTGATCCTGCAAGATCAGTTATCAGGGAAGAATCTGAGGTCTCAATGTCCTCTGGCTAACACAGCTCGAGAAACAGCTGCTTCGGAGCAGACATCTATGTGCGCATGCTCTCTCGCTGTCCCTCTCTCTCCTCCCTCTTCCCTCTCTACTCCTCTGCTGGCCTCCCAGGGAGGCCCTGTTCCAATCTCTCTGCATAGAAACGGCCCTATTTGTGCGGAGGCTCTTTCTAGCCTGTCTTCACACGCAGAAGAGACCTAACAGGACAAAGGCCCAGAAAAACTGGACCGTGTGTGCTCGGGAAGACAGCCAACACCCAGTGACTCAGCAAATCATGCAAGAAGGGGAACATCAAGATGACAGCCCACGAAGAAAAGCCAAACAGAATTCTAATCAGTTTCCTGAGGGCAGAGTTAACTGTTCTCTACCTGGTGCTCGGTGCGATCTCACTGCACGCTGGCTGTCCTCATCTCCCCTACGAATACAGGGACCACCCCATGTGACTGTATGTTGTGCTATGAGCCATACGCCAAGCTGGAGAATACACAGATAATTCCGGAGGGCGCAAAGAGATCCACGACCAACTAACTATACCCGAGCTGGGCCAAGGGGCCCCGTGTTTCTCCACACACCTGCCCTAGAGCCATGCCAGCTATTACACAGTTCCGAGGGTACCCAGCCTGGGCCAGAACCAGAGCTGATGAGAACTAGCTGAGAAAGGTTGGACATTTAGTTAGGTGGCTGAGTGCATGCCTAGCAAGCACAAGGCCCTGGGTTCAGTCCTCAGCTCTGGGGAAGGAGACAGAGAAGTAGCTGAGGAAGTGCATCCCTTGATAGAGAATGGGCTAGGTCAACAGATTGCAGATTGAAAAATCCTTGGATCAGTGTCTCCAATTCCCAGATGTCTGAATGACCCAAGGATGGTGTAGGTGCAGTCAAGGCTGGACTCAGCAGCCCTGTGCATCTCACAGTCTGGCTCCCTAAAGCTCCCTGCCTACTCAGTTCCAAGATGGAGGCATTTTGCATGCCCCCTGGGACCCAACATGAACCTCCTAGAGAAGAGACTGCCAGAGAATCATAGTGAAGACCCCATTTCACAGACAGGACCTGTGGGATGAAAGAGGAGCATGACAGGGTGGAAACAAGAACTCACCAGGGCACACTCACGATAGATGTCCCCAGCAGGGTGGGCACTCCCATGTCTACTCAGGGAGGCCCCAGCTACAGCCCTGAGCTCTCAATGCTCTGCAGATCAGGTCTGGATTTTCTCACATCTGGGAATGTCACATCAGTCCCGCCTGTCTCACTCTCCTAATGCCAAGACCCATATCCTATTGGTGTGCTCTGCCTTGCCAAGGATCCCAAACAGGAAAATGAGGCTGGGGGTGGGGAAGGGGGACTGAAGCTTTTTCTTTTGACACCAAGCAGGGACAGTCACTGAATGCTGACCCAGAGACAAAAATGGAGCTCAGTGCAGCTGCTACTGGTGCTGAGACCATGAGCAAGTAAGGACCCTTCACAGAATCAGATTCCTTATCTGTCCAATGGGACTCAGAATCGCATCAACCTTTGGGGGTTTTGAAGTGATAAATGTTGCCCCATACAGTTCTTTACAGAAACCTCAAACAATTCTAGTTATTTTCCTTTACTCTAAGGACTAGAAAAGCATTGTGGAAGAGAGGAAGAAGGCCACCCAAAGGAAGCAGGATCAGGGCATCACCTCAAAGCGAGCCAAGAAGTCCTTCAGGTTTGGGAAGGCATCCAAGCACTTGGGCTCAAATATACGGTGCTGGTCAAGGATATCGTAAGCAAGGAAATCCACATAGGTGATCTGCAGGAAGCCAAGGGTCAGTGTGCTGCAATTTGAGGCCTGGGAAGAACGGCAGCTCCTCCTCCCCACCCCCTCTCTTTACCTTGTCCCCTGCAAACCATGGCCGCTTGCCCAGGAACTCAGAGTAGAGCTTCATCTTCTCGGGGATGGTCTTCAAGAACTCTGGTTTCTGCTTCTCCTGAGGCAGAAAACAGCTGTCACCACCCTAAGACTCAGGCTCCCCAGCAGACAGGTTGACCTCCCAGAGCTGTGCAAGGGAACAGCCACCTTCCCAACAATGGGCCAGGTCTGTGTTTAGGTTTTCATTTAACACATCACTATTTTATTGGTAGCAGAATTAATGTGTGAGGTGATGGAGCCTCAGATTGGAATTTCACACTGTCCCTGGAATCTGACACCACTGAAGTCCAAAAGTTACCCTCAGGATCTCCTCAGCATCTTGCATGTTCTGGCTGCAGAGACCCAGTGGAAGAGAAGACAGTTATACTGGGTTGGGGAGGCAATAAAAACAGATCACATACGTGAAGGGCCTGCATCAATTTAGAGCAGTGACTAATATTCAAAGTTAGGAGGTTGAAAGGTCAATTGGCTGATGACCCTGAGCGGCCTATCAGGAAGACGTCCTGATTTCTGTTGATACCTAAGACAGAACCATGGGGAACACACTGGATAGATGTGTGAGACCAGTGTGCGATATACCTATGTTCATCATTTGGGGAGTACACTGTTGCCTGTTGGTAGAAGGGAGTTCAATGTTGCTATCAAGTGTCTTTCTCAATCACTGTTTGCCTTAATTTTTGGAGACAGGATCTTTCATTGAATCTAGAGCTCACAGACTGGCTGGACTCATTGGCCAGCCAGCCCCCAGAAATCCTCCCGTTTCTCCCCCAGAGCACTATGATTATAAGAGCATGCTGCCACACTCGGGTTTTTATGTGGTGCTAAGGATCCATTCTAAAGCCCTCATGCCACACAGCAAACGCTTTTAACCACCAGGCCATTCCCACACCCTCTAATTTCATCCTGGAGGCTTTTGGTATGACCATTGGGAAAGACGACACATGGAAGAAGAGGTCAAAGGACAGATGTGGTCGAGATTTACAACTATGCTGAAGGACTTAGATCAACTGTGCACCAGACAATCTCAACCGTCTCTTCCATGGTTACATTAGTAATGGTAGTTTCACAGTGTTCATGTGCTGTCTCACTGGGGTTATGAGGGTCCTTCAGGGTAGAGAAGGAGAACTCAGAGTATCAGTAACACTCGTCATTCACTGAAGGAGGATGCTGCAGATCTGAACACATGACTTTAAGTCCTGCCGCAAACCCTATCTGCTCCATCCCTGGCAACTCACAAAGTCTGGGTTGTAACAGAGCATGATGAGCTGCATGCGGTTGTCCATAACCTGGTTCTCCACGATGTCGGCACGAATCCTCTCCTCCTCTGTCTCTCCACCTGCAGCACACACAGCACACTCACCTTCAGTATCCCATTCTAGCCAAGACAAGGAGATTGTCCCCCATGCCCCACCCCGCTGCCAGCCCACTCACACAGGTTGTTCTTGCGGGCAAGGTAGCGCAGGATGGCATTGCTCTGGGTGATCTTGTGTGACCCATCAATTAAGTAGGGCAGCTGGAAAGAGAAGCAGGGATGGTCAGATGAGATATGGGGTCTCTGCATCTCTTTTCTGGGTGAGGACAGACAGGTGGTTTGGCACTCAGTGTGCCTGGCAAGGTGAGCCCTCCATGAACACACTTCACAAAGAATGGAAAAGCTGGACCCAGCCCAAAACAGAAACACTGTGAAGCTACCAGAAATGAGTGTGGGAGAGCTGAACCTCTGATCTCAAACTGTCTCAGCCAGGAAAGGAGATAAGATGAGAACACCATGCCTTCCCCATACCTCCCCTTCCCTGCACCTACATTGGGAAAGTCCAGGCCCAACTTGAACTTCTCATTCAGCCACTGGCTTCTGTCAAAGTCAGGAGCTGTAGACAAGATATGAAGAGAAATCAGGCCAGTGTCCCACCCTACTCCTGGTATTCGACCAGAAGCAAGAATCCCTGAGGTGAGGAGGTGGCAGGTGAAGGGGTGGAGGCAGTAAGGGATGGGGAGGGGGGGGTGCAACCCCTCACAGAGTCACTTTCCAAGATGGAGGAGAGGGATATAAACAACTACTGGTAATAAGAGGAGCCTGGACCCATGGGCCCCCAACAGTGCACCCAGTCTAGTTATAAATACAGATGGACCAGGAACTCCATTCTCGGTGTTCTACATTGAAAAACCAAACTGCACCCTCAAACAGGTTTCTGGAAGCAGCAGGCTCTAACTCCAGCTGTAGCAGGCATGAGGTATAAGAGGCTAGGCATGGTTGATGGGCATCACTGGGCAAGAGGGAAGCAGGTGATTGACAGGGAAGGTGCCCTTACCGTCCCCCATGGTGTATCTCTTCTCCTCATAGCTTGAGTCTGTGTACTCCAGGAGCATGCGGATGGGGTGAATCAGCTGGGAGAGAAGACCACAGGCAGAAGTGAGAAATTGTGAGGACCTTACTGTATGACTTCATCTTCTCCATTTGAGACCCCCACACTGCACAAATACAGCCACCATGCAGTGTGCATATCCTGGCGCGAGTTCGCACCTCCCTCCGCAACTCCCCCCCCCCGGCCCCCCCCCCCCCCCCACACAGCCTCCCCAGTGTGTGAGCTCCTGAGCTCTGAGAGCTACAGGCAGAAGATTCTAGGGAGGCCTGAGGAGTATCCTTCTGCTAGAAAGGGCCTTGCTGTTATGAACTTTCTGTTTCACATCCCAGTCCCCTCTCTTACACCGCGGACATTCCAGTATCCCAGTATCATAGGCATAGTGCTGGTGCTGTGGCTGGTGCTGGTCTTCTCAGACTGGCTTCAGCAGGGTTGAGCTGGGTCTCTGGACAAGCTGCGACTTTATGCAGACTCCCAGAGAGGCCAAGGAGGGACCAAGCGGCCCGTCCCTCCCCACTCTGCACCAATCCCAGTCAGGCACGCCCCTCCCTCCCTTGTGTAACCAGAGCTACAGATCCTGACCCAGAAGGCACAGGGCCACACCCTCTCCGAGAGAGGAGGGATTAGATCCTTTGCCGCCTCTGCCCCAAGATTCTGTTCTGTGCACCCTGAAGGCAAAATCTTTTCTCCTGCTCCAAACCCTCTTAGCAACTGCCGCCATCGCCACCTGCTGGATACTCCGGAAACTGACACTGGAAACTGGAGACTGGCCAGAGAGCTACAGAACCAAGACATTCTGCCTTCTTCCTTTTCTTTGCAGAGCTCGGTTTTCAAACTCAGACTGTGGGAATCTGTCATTCGGGGAGGCTCAGCTCTCAGCTTAAGGACAAAAAGACGCGCCCCCAACCTGAAGCCTTAATCTAGCACCTATCCTTGAAGAAAGGACTCTGCTGATCTGACAGCTATCAGACTATTGTGCACAAGGACTCCAGTTACAGGAACAGTCGGTGACATGGAAACAACCCAGGGCAGGGACAGACAGAAGAGTAAATGGTCTCTGTATTTTATTTATATTTGAGAACCCAGTCCTTCAGGTTATCAATCGTAAAAAAATCAATCAGTGTTTTGGCCATGTTTATGAATCTAAATTCAAGACCCAAACACAGAGAGGCATGAATCTGAGGGAAGCCACAGGCATGGACAGCAGTCAGCTGACAGAACCAGCAAGGGAGTAAAGAGCTCACCGATGGGTGTGTGCAATAGAGTGGGAGAGCATGTGTTCCCAAGAGGCTTGCTTTCAAGGGACAGCAGGATGCTGTCCACACAGGAGCCTGGAACACTCTGCACAGGACACAAGGAGCCCAAAGCTAGACCCTCAGCTGTCCAGATGCCTGGATTCTGGTCCTGGCCCAGGTTCCTGACACACATGTGTCTTGATGTGACAGGGTGGGTCAAATGGCCTTTCAAGTTACCCTGGGGTATGTTTTGGGTCCTGGGGGAACCTTCATAAAGACAATGTCCTACCAACAACAGGGTCCCACATGTCTACTTTCTTCCTTGAAGGCAAGACACTCTTCCAAAATCAAGAGGCTTGTGCCTAATTGACCAGAGGATGACATCACCTTGTTTACAGAAATTTATCAGAAATCATGAAAACAAATGACGGAAGTGGAGACTAAAATGGGTTTGGAAGCCAAAGGGCAAGGCTGCTGCTCTGCAGAAAGTACCATTTGGGATTAAGTCATCCTTTCCTAGGTCTACAGGATATGAAGGCAGCATGTCACTGAGGGTTTGCCCTCAGGAGGGTGAGGTGTGCAGAGAGGGCGCAGGGAACAGGCCGAGGCTGTCTTCATTCTGTGAAATTAGAGAAGCCACATGCTTTGCAGGTCCTCGGTGAGGACGCAAGCTCAGAGACCATGTCACCGGAGCTGACAGTGTCTGTGGCAAATGCTGTTTTAACATTTGGACATTTGGAGAGAAAATTGAACTTTTTTGGGTTTAATCTGAAAAAAAAAATGAGTGTTAAGTGCTAAGATTGAGTAGAAAATAATAACTTTAAAAGGCATTAAAAGAACATTGAAGCAATTTTACACAGAACAGAAATGGTACCATTGTGATCATCCAGTCTGTTTCCTCCTTTATTAAACATTATTTCTCCATTATTAAAATTGAGTCTCTAGCGTAGAGGCCCCACGGATAAGAAGGCCCTTCATGTGAACTCTAAATTGGCTACTAAAGACCACAAGTCTAATGGGAATTGCAGGGAGATATATTGTGTACCCTAATAAACCTATCTGGGGATCAGAGGACAGAGCCAGCCACTAGATTAGACAAAGAGGCCAGACAGGGGTGCCACACATCCTTAATCCTATCACTCGGAAGGCAGTGATCCGTCTGGATCTCTGTGAGTTCAAGTCCACTCTGGGAACCAAGTCAGGCAGTGGTGGCACACACCTTTAATCCCAGTATTGGGAAGCACACACGCCTTTAATCCCAGGAAGTGATGTTGGGCAGAGAAAGGTGTATAAGGCATAAGTAAACAGGAAGTCTTGCTCTTGAGGCTGAGTATTTCACAGAAGTAAGCTAGTGGCTACCTTATTCTGTTTCTCTGATCTTTCAGCTTTCACTCCAATATCTGGCTCTGGGTTTTTTTATTATAAGACCTTTTAAGATTCGTGTTACAGAGGCATTTAGCAAGTACGAGGTACATCAGCATATTTGCACACACTATGGTGGCTGGAGAAGGGGAGTGGATGATAGAGAAGGAATCCTTGCTGACCAGAACAAGAACTCAGGGGACCTGGGAAGGAGCCAGAGCCCTGCAGCCCTTCAGAGGAGAGAACAGCTCTGCAGAAGAGGGTAAGGGCTGGGACAGCAAGCCCTCAGTGCAGGGTCCCGGAGTCTAAGAGCATCACCCTTTGAAGGAGAGAGGTCTCTAAAGGCAACAGGGAGCAGTGGGGACCAGGGACATGGGAAGATGTCTGAGGCCAGTACTGTGCTGGAGAACTGAATCCCAGAGTTGATCACTGATCTCTGGCTGTCACTGTGCTGTCACAAGTTCACAGCCCAGCCAGTCCAGGTGGCTTAAAAGGACACTGTGCATGAAAAATCTAAATATATTAGAGGGAATTTGTCCTATAACCTGGAGAGTGCCATCTGAAATGGAATCCATAATTTCTCCCAGCCTAATGGGTGACATTCTAATGTCGTCAATGCAAATTCACAGAATTCTACATATAATGGCTTCAGTGGTTTTTTTCATTTTTTGTTTCTTTTTTCTTTTGTGTTTTCTAAGAGAAGGTTTCTCTATATAACAGTCCTGCTTGTCAAGGAACTCACTCTGTAGACCAGGCTTGACTTGAACTCCCAGAGATCTGCCTGCCTCTGCCTCTGAGTGCTGGGATTAAAGGTGTGCATCACAACCATTCATTGGCTTCAGAATTTTGAAAAACTGCAGGAGAAATGAGTACCAACAAATAATTAAGTGTTCTCTGCCTCAAGGAAACTTTCTGAAAGTCTCTGCAGTGCTGACTGTCCAGAACACTCAGGAAATAGAGAAGACACATAGTATTTTCTCATTCTGTAGGAAATGATGAAGTGAATGTCACCATGTCCCAGACGTGGACAAAGAACACCCTCATCCCTGTGATAGTAAGAATGGGAAAAGGGCTGGCACAGAAAAGCAGAATAAGTAGCCCGTGCCACCATCACCACGGAGCAGAGACAGGAAGTGAATCTTCAGGTTGTGCTTTCATCAGAGAACAGGCAATGTGAGTCGATGGTGGTTGATACCCTAGGAAAACAAACAGTCTTCACATTGTGTCTCCACCCAGTGGGTGTTTACAGTTAGAGGAGCTTCAGGGAATCCACTGTGTGGCCTGCAGGAGGCCCTGTGTATAAACCCAGATCCATTAAAAAAGATAGGAAGGAATGAGGGAAGAGGGGAGGGAGAGAGAAAGGGAGGGAGTTCCCAAGGGAGGGAAGGAATAAGGAAGGGTCACTGGGATACAGGGAAAAGAGAGAGGTTTCTCCGGTCCCACCCGGACCTGTGGTCCCACGGCTGCTTATAAAATAATCACTCAGAGGCTTAAAATTTATTTACCAGTTGCATGGCCTATAACAGTCTTCTTGCAAGCTAGTTCTATCATCTTAAATTAACCCATTTCCATTAATCTATGGTATTCCATGTGTTCCATGGCTTTACCAGTCTGGTGGCATGTTGCTCCTTGGGTGGCAGGCTGGCCTCTCTCCAGACTCTGCCTTTCTCTTTCCTGTCTCTCTCCTTGGATTTCCTGCCTGCCTCTAAGCTGCCTTGCCATAGGCCAAAACAGCTTTATTTATAGCCAGTGGGAGCAACACATATTCACAGCATTTTAAGACGAGTTTTAATGGTCTTATTAATAATAATTAAAAAAACCCAGAGCCAGATATTGGGGTGTTTTCCACAGATGCATGTTAATGCCGCAATCAACTGCATCTAACAAATACAGCAAAATGGGGATTTGGAACATGAGGACCTGAAGGAGGTGATAATGCACACTAACTAGTGATTTTCTTTTTCATGGCCTGTTTTTCAGAAACTGCCCGTATAAAATCACGAAACCTGCCGGAAACTTACACGTTACATCAGTTGTCGTGACTACTCTCAGGTCTGGCATGAGCGGTCATGTGGGAGGCAGCACCAGAGGGTGGCTGTCAATCACTGTCTAGTCTGTGCCTGAATCCCCACCTAGGCATCACACAGAAAGTGTACTGTATCATGGTTAAAAAAAAAAAAAACTGTCCAGATAGAGCATGGTAGTGTCAGCAGTGAGAAGGGTGGAGTCGGAGGAGGGGAAAGGCTTGTAGACAGACAGAACTGCTGGGGCCCGACGGGGGAGCTAGACCATCTGCAAGGCCCTTTGTACACACTAGATATCAAAATACAGAATTGGGCACCCACTCAGGAATCCTGAAAAATCTGTCTGACTATGTCTACTTGTCAGGAGGGAACCTGAGGTCCAGGAATGCTTAATCAACTTTCTTCTTTTGACACAACTAGTCAGTGGGAGAGGGCCCAGGTCAGAGGGGCTCTGTGGGTGCCACTCTGTGAGGTCCCTGGGCTCATGCCTCCTGACCTCCTGCAGGGGACCCCATCCATCTCTCTCCATGTGCATAGACCTGTTCCTGGTTCACAGCTAAGCTCCTTCTAGCCCACAATCCGAACTCCTAACAGGACAAAGGAATCCAACAGATCAGGGCGGCATAGATGAGATCTTACCTATGACTAAGCAAAAACTGGATGAAAGGCATTGACAGCAGACCCAGAAAGAAAGCCTCATCAGCAATCAAAGCCCTGAGAACAGAAAGTTCATGTTTCTCCAGATTGGTGCCTGAGGTCAATCTCACTGTACCAAAACTAACCTCATCCCCAGCAGACCTGTCAGAACAACAGTTAAGTATGTTCTATATTCCAGGCCTTCTCTCCGGACAGTGAGTGGCAAATAGTTTCTAAAGGGTTCAGAGACAACCAGGGCTTCCTGTACCACCAAGCCAGCTGCAGCCAGCCTCAAGCACAGACCT